TGTGACATTGGAGATCAATTAAAATAATTTATTCATGCTCATAGCTATTTACTGTAGAGGTGGAAACAACAATTATATGACAGAAAATTTCTTCTATCAGAGTTAATGTCACTCGAAACTGTACGTGGAAGTGACATTAATTTCAATAAAAAACACCGATATATTGTATATCGATAATAAAAATCAGCGTAAATTAATGGCTATTTATTGATTTGATTGTCGAAAAAGTAATCTTTTGAAGAGTTAAGTAATCATCCAGCAGTCATGCTGATAATTAACTGTTTGATTTTTTTAGGTTTTTCGTTCCTGTTTTTGCGAGATAACATCGCGCAGCTACCTAGTTTCTAATTTTGGAAAGTAACTATCCTAATTAACGTTAATGCATTCATTGAGTTTATTGGATGATCTACTTCATGACATGCAAATATTTCTTAGTCTTTCTAAATGTAAATAGTCATACTTCGCATCAATTTTATCATAGCAGAGAATTCAGAACTTAAATGTCCTTGTGTGATTGACCCCAAATTGTGAAAATCGATTGCAGAATAGATTGCGAAATCGATTTTCATTTTAAATTAAACAATTACTATCGCTATTATTATAATTTAAAAATGCAGGGGGTATACCCTTAAAAATGAAAATCGATTTCGCAACAGGGCTTCAGACACTATAGTAATATACCGGCCATTTAAAAATTGTCGTTCTTAATCTATTTTATATTAGAATTTAATTGGCCAGAATAACAATTCAATACATGCATATCATATCATTGCATAATTGTTTACATAAGATATTCGATTAGTAGATTAAAATATACAGTAATCGATTTGATAGACTCTAATGTGATGGATTAAAAATGACACTTCAAACAATTGGCATCGGCGCAGTAAATGGCCGGCATATTACTATGGTGTCTGAAGCCCTGTTTCGCAATCGATTCTGCAATTAGGGGTCAATCACAAAGGGACACAGAATTTTGAAAACAGCGATAATGTTTCAAATAAAGTAAACATCGAGATTTTCTTGCACTATCTTAATAACAAACAAAGACAAATTATGTGTCACTTATAAATATGTAATAGTTATATCCTGGGTAGTTGGGTATAAGCGGGGCTGAAGTCCCGCTTATATGCCCTGCGATCTTGATATAGTGACCAGGGTATAACAGATAATTATTATCCGGTACATATTAACGTGTATGTATTTAATTTTATGTAATTACATAGTCAATCGCAACACATGAATAAGATTATTATCAAAGTATATTTAGCTTTGACTTACATATAATAAACTTTTTCCCTCTCAAGCGTTGATTAAAAATTTTTGGTTCTTTTCTTAAGAATAAGAAAGAATGTATCTAAAATATTCATTTTCATTATTTACTCTTTGTCACTTAATCATATTTATTCTCTTTTTCGTACATTCAACTATTGAATCCCAGGTGTCATCTAAATTTATTCAACGAGATCCATTATTTGACAGAACAATGTACCTAAGAATATACTTGCTACTTCCTTTATTGGAGGTGAATTGATTATTAATTCTGTTGTTACAATTACTATCATTACTATAATAATCGTAATCATGATAATTAATGTTATAGCTGTTTTCAAAAAGGTGTGAACAGACGCAAATAGCTATATCACGGGAAATTCACAAAATTACCCAGATTTCCTAAACTTTCAAAGCCAACTCTAATCGGACCTTCAATTTTTACTAAATGATAATTTCCCAATTCTTCGATTCCCCACATAGATATGTGGAATCGTTGTTTACACCTTTTTGAAAACAGCTGTAACAAATTATAGGAGGAAGCTATCTTATTCCGATGTCTGAAATTTTAAAGATTTTGATGGATCGCGGATATAATGTAATTAGAGAATTTATTTTATTGATTTAATTATTAATTATTTAATTTTAATTTTAAATTTTAATTTTTATTTTAATTTTTATTTAATTGGCCTTTCGATTCTTAGGTGACATTAGTAGCACCAGGAAATTTTACTGCAAATTCCCACTCTTATCGCTCGATTCCACAGGTTATTGTTGATAAAAAAGCGGGCATTGAAATTGTAAATCAAAATGTGGTGAAAAAAGCTTTCATGGAAAAATTCAGTCTTAGTACATTTATTAAATCATTTGACATTGAAGCTTACACCAAATATAAAATGTATAAACAAACCGCTGAGGAAATCAATGCAGATTTATTTGTTTGTGATATTGGCATGAATTTTGCATGTTTTGATCTTGCTTGGAAATTAGAAAAGCCTGTTGTTGCATTCGGTTCTTCTCCAGATTTTGGTAAATACTATATATAAATAAATAATATTCACTCGATTTTACTCGATTTACAGATGCATTAGTTTAAAAAATAACCCTATTTGTATCATCTGTTGCATTAAATAGCCGTCCTTCCACCACCATATAAAACAGTTCCTTTTCTTGAATGTCATGTGAACATGGAAAATGAATCTTTCTATGATAGATTTACTTGTGCCATTATAAGACCTTTAAATTTTATCTGGCCCATCTGGTCAATGGGAAATAATTTAAATGCTCAAAGAGTAAAGTTAGGTATCGAACCGTATTGGAACCCAAGAGCACGAATGGAGAATATTTTATGTTTGTTTGATACTTTTCTTGGATTTGAGGTAGTTATATAATTAATTTCTTTACACTCATGAATTTTACGAATGTGAATAATAATATGCTATTTTTATTTTATTTTATTTTATTAATGCTTTATTACTTATTACATATATAGATACCGACTGCTATGTAATAAGTAATAAAGCATTAATAAAATAAAATAAAATAAAAATAGCATATTATTATTCACATTCGTAAAATTCATGAGTGTAAAGAAATTAATTATATAACTACCTCAAATCCAAGAAAAGTATCAAACAAACATAAAATATTCTCCATTCGTGCTCTTGGGTTCCAATACGGTTCGATACCTAACTTTACTCTTTGAGCATTTAAATTATTTCCCATTGACCAGATGGGCCAGATAAAATTTAAAGGTCTTATAATGGCACAAGTAAATCTATCATAGAAAGATTCATTTTCCATGTTCACATGACATTCAAGAAAAGGAACTGTTTTATATGGTGGTGGAAGGACGGCTATTTAATGCAACAGATGATACAAATAGGGTTATTTTTTAAACTAATGCATCTGTAAATCGAGTAAAATCGAGTGAATATTATTTATTTATATATAGTATTTACCAAAATCTGGAGAAGAACCGAATGCAACAACAGGCTTTTCTAATTTCCAAGCAAGATCAAAACATGCAAAATTCATGCCAATATCACAAACAAATAAATCTGCATTGATTTCCTCAGCGGTTTGTTTATACATTTTATATTTGGTGTAAGCTTCAATGTCAAATGATTTAATAAATGTACTAAGACTGAATTTTTCCATGAAAGCTTTTTTCACCACATTTTGATTTACAATTTCAATGCCCGCTTTTTTATCAACAATAACCTGTGGAATCGAGCGATAAGAGTGGGAATTTGCAGTAAAATTTCCTGGTGCTACTAATGTCACCTAAGAATCGAAAGGCCAATTAAATAAAAATTAAAATAAAAATTAAAATTTAAAATTAAAATTAAATAATTAATAATTAAATCAATAAAATAAATTCTCTAATTACATTATATCCGCGATCCATCAAAATCTTTAAAATTTCAGACATCGGAATAAGATAGCTTCCTCCTATAATTTGTTACAGCTGTTTTCAAAAAGGTGTAAACAACGATTCCACATATCTATGTGGGGAATCGAAGAATTGGGAAATTATCATTTAGTAAAAATTGAAGGTCCGATTAGAGTTGGCTTTGAAAGTTTAGGAAATCTGGGTAATTTTGTGAATTTCCCGTGATATAGCTATTTGCGTCTGTTCACACCTTTTTGAAAACAGCTATAACATTAATTATCATGATTACGATTATTATAGTAATGATAGTAATTGTAACAACAGAATTAATAATCAATTCACCTCCAATAAAGGAAGTAGCAAGTATATTCTTAGGTACATTGTTCTGTCAAATAATGGATCTCGTTGAATAAATTTAGATGACACCTGGGATTCAATAGTTGAATGTACGAAAAAGAGAATAAATATGATTAAGTGACAAAGAGTAAATAATGAAAATGAATATTTTAGATACATTCTTTCTTATTCTTAAGAAAAGAACCAAAAATTTTTAATCAACGCTTGAGAGGGAAAAAGTTTATTATATGTAAGTCAAAGCTAAATATACTTTGATAATAATCTTATTCATGTGTTGCGATTGACTATGTAATTACATAAAATTAAATACATACACGTTAATATGTACCGGATAATAATTATCTGTTATACCCTGGTCACTATATCAAGATCGCAGGGCATATAAGCGGGACTTCAGCCCCGCTTATACCCAACTACCCAGGATATAACTATTACATATTTATAAGTGACACATAATTTGTCTTTGTTTGTTATTAAGATAGTGCAAGAAAATCTCGATGTTTACTTTATTTGAAACATTATCGCTGTTTTCAAAATTCTGTGTCCCTTTGTGATTGACCCCTAATTGCAGAATCGATTGCGAAACAGGGCTTCAGACACCATAGTAATATGCCGGCCATTTACTGCGCCGATGCCAATTGTTTGAAGTGTCATTTTTAATCCATCACATTAGAGTCTATCAAATCGATTACTGTATATTTTAATCTACTAATCGAATATCTTATGTAAACAATTATGCAATGATATGATATGCATGTATTGAATTGTTATTCTGGCCAATTAAATTCTAATATAAAATAGATTAAGAACGACAATTTTTAAATGGCCGGTATATTACTATAGTGTCTGAAGCCCTGTTGCGAAATCGATTTTCATTTTTAAGGGTATACCCCCTGCATTTTTAAATTATAATAATAGCGATAGTAATTGTTTAATTTAAAATGAAAATCGATTTCGCAATCTATTCTGCAATCGATTTTCACAATTTGGGGTCAATCACACAAGGACATTTAAGTTCTGAATTCTCTGCTATGATAAAATTGATGCGAAGTATGACTATTTACATTTAGAAAGACTAAGAAATATTTGCATGTCATGAAGTAGATCATCCAATAAACTCAATGAATGCATTAACGTTAATTAGGATAGTTACTTTCCAAAATTAGAAACTAGGTAGCTGCGCGATGTTATCTCGCAAAAACAGGAACGAAAAACCTAAAAAAATCAAACAGTTAATTATCAGCATGACTGCTGGATGATTACTTAACTCTTCAAAAGATTACTTTTTCGACAATCAAATCAATAAATAGCCATTAATTTACGCTGATTTTTATTATCGATATACAATATATCGGTGTTTTTTATTGAAATTAATGTCACTTCCACGTACAGTTTCGAGTGACATTAACTCTGATAGAAGAAATTTTCTGTCATATAATTGTTGTTTCCACCTCTACAGTAAATAGCTATGAGCATGAATAAATTATTTTAATTGATCTCCAATGTCACA